ATGGCCATTGTCATCAGTGAGTCTGGTGATTGCATTTAATTTCCTCCTATGAGCAGTGAATGCTTGGAAAAATTTTGTATTTTTGTCACCATCTTTTAGCCATATTAATCTGGACTTCTGCTTCCAGAAGAGCTCCTCCTCATGATATGCTTTATCCAATGTTGATTTAAGACTGTTCCAAGAATCCCAATCTCTCTCCCCAGAAGATGTTCTGATTTGTTCAAGGGCATCTGTAAGCTCTTTGATTCTCTGTTGATTTTCAGAATGATGACTGCTGCTCCATTTCAAAAGAGCTATTCTTGTTGCTTTAATCTTTTCCTTGACTTTGAACATGGGGGTCCCTTCAACATTCTGAGACCAAGCCTTAGATACAATCTCAGAAACTCCTTCCTTGGCCAACCACCTCTTATCAAAGCAAAATCTTCTTTTCTTTTTACTAGAGAGAGGGTCAGAATAGATAAAGAGCATGCTGTGATCTGAGGAACTTCTGAGTATATTTTCCACTATAGCATGAGGATGCTTAATGGACCATTGAAGGGAACAGAATGCCCTATCCAACTTCTCCTCTACATAGCCCTCCTCTGATCTGTTATTAGCCCAGGTAAAAGTGTGGCCTTTCCATTTGATTTCTATCATTCTTATATCAGAAATAAGGGAGTTAAAACCAGCCATACTGAAAAGAGTTCTAGCAACTCCTCCTTTCTTCTCTTCACTGTTGCAGATGTCGTTCCAGTCCCCTGCACAGAGCCAAGAAGAACCCCACTTTGCTTGCATATCCCTGAGTAAGTCCCACTGATGATGCCTGATGTTTGTGATTGAGCTCAAGTAGACAAAAATGATCCAAACTGGGTCTGAATTAATCCCATCAGAATATTCAATTTCCATACAAAAGTTGTGACTGATAATTTGATGAATAATAATATCTTTCCCCCACAACAGAAGCAAACCTCGAGCAGAACCAATAGGATCAACTACTTTCCATCTATCTTCAAATCTCAAAGAAGAACAAACTGTATTTACAAATTCGACATGCTTTTTGGTTTCAGAAATAAAAATAAAATCTGGGCAGTGGGTCCTAATGGACTCCTTCAGCTGGGGAATTGTAGAGGGTCCACCCAAACCTCTACAATTCCACACCAGCACTCTCATTGGGGACTTGTTGGCCTTTGAAGGTTGGCCAACAACACCTTATCCGATTGGAGCTTAAGTTTCTTACCTAAGGAATTGTCCTCTATTTGTTTCAAATCAATCAAATCAGATCTATCCCTTTTAAGAACCTGAATGAGAGGAGGAGAATCTTTGATTGGTGGAGAGATGTGGAGTCTTCCTTTAGGATCAGTAGTTCTCTTCCATGTCTTGGCAATGATTTTAGGTTTAGTAGCTGACACTTCTGCCTTCACATTATCCACAACCATGGTTGACAAAGAAAACTCCTCCCTAATGATAGGGAGGCTTGGATTAGAGACTACAATCTCCTTTCCTTTCCCTTTTTGAGAGCACTCTGCAGATGATTCAGGAGAAAACTTGGACCATACTTTGATAGCTGATGATGATTCAGGAGTGACAGTCTCTTCCATTAGATCTAAATGAGACTGGATAGGGACTTCAATTAACTCTGAGGGAACAATAGGTAGAAGAGATTTCTGGTTCCCCTGAGATTGAGATGGATTACTTGGTTTAGAAGCAGAAGAATTAGTCCTGATTAGGCCCAGAGCTTTTAGAACCCATAGAAGCTGAGTGGCTATTGTGAGGAGATGTGAAAATATGTTGTCCTTCACTCACTTTGAGCCACTCTCCATATTGTCCATCCTGCAAGGCATTTCTGGCAATATCTCCAATTCTTTTTTTACAATCTTTGTCCAAATAGCCCAGAGTTCCACAGTAATAACATAAATTTACAAGCTTCTCGTATCTGAAGCTAACCTTGATAATATCTTCCCCCAGTCGAACATTAGCACATCTCAAAAGAAGTTCTTTAACATTGATGGCTGCCAGAATACGAATAACCCTTTCTCCACCGGATTCTCCTGCCCTGGTAATAGTGACGTTCTTAGCTCCCTTAAAGAGGTTTCCAATCTTGAGCCCAACCCCCGGAGATTGCCAATGAAAAGGCACATTGAATATATTCACCCAGAGATGAAAAATGTCAAAGCATGGATGATTCCGCCTTATATTCGGCTGCCATTCTCTCAGAATAAGGTATTGGTTGTCATAGACCCAGCTTGTTCCTGAGGCAACTTTCTGGAGATCCTCAACATTGTCGAAAATGAACTGAAAGAAGTTGTTGCTTAGCTCTCTAACTTCGACAGCTCCCTGGATTTTCCAAATCTGACCAATGGTTCTTTTAACTCCGAAAAGGCTCGCCGATCTATCACCGATAATTTTGCCAAACAAACTTTTTTGACATTCTGACTTGCTAACTTTGATATCATCTTGAGCAATATCCACGATCGAATTTTCCGCCTCTGATAATGAAAACTTCTCCATTTTTTTCTCCAGCTCCACTTCCGCGCTTTGATCCTTCCTCATGCTGCTACTCGATGCCATGAGGAATTGAATGAAGAAAACGAAGACTGAGCTCACCGATTGTATAAACACTCATGAATTATCGATCCCAACTGAGATAATTAGAGTTCCCAAAGGAAGAATTAGGGTTCCCAAAGGGATAATTAGAAATATTTAATTTGGACAACATAGAAATAAGTCATTCATAATATCAAATTATCAAATTACATAAAATTTATGAATTTGCTAATATTGTTTATATGTACGAATTAACATATTACAGTAAATTTGTTATATATTGTTCAAATCAAATATGAAACAATGGGTTTAATTTGTTAAGTTGTATAATATGTGGGTAGTATTGAAAAATTGTAAAAGTTGATATAAAAAAAAATATATTTCGAGAATATTCTTTTGAGTTAGAGAATGAGTTTTTCGGTTGGAGATGAATTACTGCAAAATGGGATCTGTACAGCAAAATGGGTTTAAGTATGAGGTATTCGGTTGGAGATGGTCTTATATCCTTTCTTGTTATACAGACTCTAGATTATTGGTCCATTTTAACTGGACATGATTTGTCAAAACTCGGTCAACTAAGCTGGGTAGTACACACACACACACAAATGCATGTTCTTGGGCGCTACTGAGCCTACAAAAAACCTACCACAGTGGATGGAGATTTTGTGCTGTTGCATAGTACAAAGTTTACTATTTTATTATGATCCATCGGATA